GAAAAATATTTTAAAGAACACACATTTAAAATATTCCTACTGAAATGCTTTCCTTCTACTAATATTTAAAAAAAGAAAGTCAAGCTTCCTTCCTTTACTCCTTTCTCTACAAAAAAAGAATCACAAACAATATTTTAAATAACCTTTTATTCTATCTTTTGGATTTTGTTTTTAAAGTAATGCTTTTGAATTATAAAAAATATAAACTTACAAAAATTCTCAAAAATTTTGGGAAGACAACCCAGTGCATTTTAGTATGTATGTACTTAAAATATATTTCTAAAACAGACATTTGTAGAATATTCTTTCCAACCCCCTATATATAAATTACTGTTCATAGAAGTATAAAGCACACTAATTGAAACTTCTGTTTCAGAACTTAAATGATAAAACAGAAAAAGATGCAATATCAAATTTATTAATATTCACACACAAGTATAATTCTTGATTAAAAGACTCATTTTCTAATCAATGTATTATCTCTGAATGTTTCAAAAATCATCAAAAAATAGGATGGAAGATATTTCCATATTTAACACACCACGACCAATCATCAGTTTTTTATGCCTTTTACAAAGAAGTCATCAGAAGTGTTTTAGATAATATAAAAATTCAACAAAATCCAACCCATGTTAAAGATTAAAGTTTATGCTTATGAGATTCCTTGGCTATACCTTTGTGCTTTCATATTAACAGATTACCATTAAGCACTTTAAATGAACATCAACATAAACTCTAGGAAAACAAAACAATGGTAAAATGTGGACATACCAACATCTTTAAAGGTAAGCAAGCTCTAGCTTTTTAATCTGGTGGGTTTTTGGATGTTGTTGTTTGGGGTTTTCCCCCATTTTGCCACAAGGTAGATTCATGAATGAAATCCCACTTTAATATCCTATTTTCTCTCACTTACATGTATGCTGGAGAAAGTGGAGTTGACCTGGATGTTTTAAGCACAGGAACTGGGAATTTCCAGATAGCAGGAGAGCTCGTTTTCCATTTCAATGGCATGTTGTCACCACGGTACTACAATAACAGTAAACAGCGTTTCCATAACAGACTATGAACTAGGACTTCCATTCCACACTGTACTGACATAGCAGTGGCTGCCGCGGAGAACAAGCAAACAATTCTGCCAGTGCCCTTAAACCGATGCTTCCAATCTGTAAAATAGGGCTGCAAGGTACCTCCTTTAAATTCTCCTGTCCCCTAAAGCAATATGATGATTCTATCGTTCCAACTCCACAATAGTGCCACCTCGTTAGGAAAGCGTTGACTGCAGTATATTTTTTAAGACTGCACTGTGCATACCACACAATGCAGTTTTATTTAATAAAAGCAGCTAAGGTTTTTTTTTTGTTTTTTTGTTTTTTTTGTTTTTTAAGCTTGCAATACCATTGTTCTACCTTAACAGGGATACTGCAGCACTGTACTATTCTGCACCTATTAACCTGATTTCTGACCAATAGTAGCAGGAAAAAAAATAGATGGGTTTCATATGAAAATGAAACAACATACCTACTCAGAATACACTTGTCATCCTCTGAACATTCTTCTTTTGAGCTGCAACAATACAAATGGGATATAAACCTCAGCATAGCCTTAGGCCACAGCTAATAGAGATCAGTGACTAAATTCGGCAGCCTGCTTTCCTCCTGTGCGAGCTCTGGCCACACAATACAAGAATGCCATTATGGGAAAAGCCCGTTTAAAAAAATGCCAGTCCCTCTGTTTTCCAGTAAGAAGAAGGCAAAATTTAAGAACAAATATAAACTGCTGCAGAACTCTGCATGTTCTTCTAGTAGCTTCTGATTCAAGTTGCTCTCCTTTCCCTATTCTTATTTCCAAGCCGGGATGAGCAAAATCTCATACATTTACAACATGCTGTGGTAACACGAATATCACTCTGTCTTCTGCAGCCGAGAAGTACAGAGTAGCGTGCTCTTAATAGCAGTCCTCGGAGGGACGCTATCAACAATCTAATTCAACGCTGCCCTCCCCTTCTTCTCTCCCCCTTTCTCCTCCCGTTCTCCCCCCTCACTCCTCCCCCCAACAACAGCTCACAATTGCCTAGAGGAAAGAGCAACGCTGCTGGCCAAGCAGGTGTCCAGCAGGGACCACTCCAAAGCCCAGCAGCGGGTCCAGTAACCTCTAGGGATTAGCGATTGTCAAGAAGGTTCAAAATTTCAAACTGCTGTCAAAGGCAGCTTGAGGTATTTTATGAAAGCAATGGCACATAAAGGGTTCATCTATATTGTTAAAAATATTGCCAGAAAACAGTATTGTAAACGCCCTGAAAGTGACTAGATGCTTTAAGTATCTGTTAAAAGCATCACTACCACCACCACTGACAACAAAGAAACTCGCCAATTTTCTCACAATTCTGAAAAGTGAAAATAGGTTAAACTAATGTGCTGAACTCTATTTACAGGCTGAAGACTTTTACTTCTGATGTAGGCAAGTAACCAGCACTAAACATCTACCTTCATAGCACCCTCCTGCTTCTACCTAAAAACAGAATTATCTGCCTCCATCGATGCGAGTTCAGTAAAGGCAGACCACCATTGACACAAAAGCCACTACCTTTTAAGAAAAATCACTGCAGTGACAAAGAGCTCATTTCTACTTCTAACTCTATATCCAAACAATAAATGTGCGCTTCAAACTTAAATGGTTGGTTTTCAGATACTTTCCAAATTATTTCTAGTTTTTAAAAGATTGAGATTTTAGTCCCATGACAGGATTTTTTATTTGTATTTTAAAAGCATAAATAAATGTTTCTATAGTAAGAAACTACTTTCAAAAACTCCAAAATACACAATTTAAAATACCAGAAATACAGTATGAAATAAACTAAGATAATCACAAATCTCTTCCTTTTAAGATACAGATAAACATTGAGGCAAAGAGATAAACCAGTATTTTCCCATGAAACACAAAGAGATTTGTCTATGCAATACACACACACACACACATACACACATACACACATACACACATACACACACACACACACACACACACACACAGATGGAGAGAGAAAGCTTATTTTGTAAGCTTATAAACTTTGGAACTGTTAACTCCATGTCAGCCATGACTACATCGCATCGAATTGTTATTCAATTCTATCATAGACAAACACCCCAAACAACCCAGTCAAGCAACTTTAATCCTTTAAAATTAAAAATATTTAAAACTCCTTTCAGTACCCACATACAAAACTGTGTCATAGAAACCTGCAAGGGGATCAAATAAAGGAATATTTATCAATGTCTTTGTGGCCAAAAGGTATAGAAAAGGTTAATAACAGTGCTACTGACACAAATAAACTGCAGACAATATTTGACACAAGAATACTTTGTGTAATAAATTTATGGAGCAAAATGGTCACAGATATAATCAGCAATGACAACTTGTTTGAAACCCTAAGAAGGGAAAATACATACATACATATGGACACATAAAGAAAGACACACACACACACACACACACACACACACACACACATCAAGTTTGGAATGACTCATTCCAGAATGAGTTTCAAACAATTTTTCAAAACCACCCCTGATATATATTTAAAAATATAAAATGGCTTTATATTAGCTATATGTAGTAAGAAAATGTTTTAGAAAGGAGATTCAACACTTTCCAACTTAAAAAAATTCACAAAACAATTATTATAAATGTGACTGTACTTCTGAGAACAAAGACCTCAAAACGTGTATGAAAACATGGCAATAAAGAACTTTCGGCAGTTTATTTTTCTACAGCTTTTTCCTAATTAATAAGTGGAAAATAGGGTTAAGGTAGAGTTTTCTATACTTCCAAGAAGTTTAACTCCCACAAACAGGCGAAGAGTACCTTATTATAAATGTGCTGAAGTTATAGTTCTGTGAGCAATCAACTGATTCTAAAATATAAAAAAACACCCAGTACCATTAATCTCCCATGCCAATTTTTACTCTAGATTCCTCATAGATGATGTTTAATATTAGTTTTCTGTGGCACTCCAATCATTTTAATATTTGCTCAAAGTGAAAATAGATTAGGACTGCTTTTCTCTACACCACTCTTGGTACATTTTTAGTCCCCAAACCCTAAAAGCATTATATCTGATAGTGAATATTTATCTATATTCAGTACTTACTTTTCCTCTAATAAACTGCAAAGTCATATGTAATTATGTCTCATAAGCAAACAACTACTGTGCCAAAGTCTTCAAAAATAATTCTTTTAAGAATAAATATGATATATGAACTATACTTTATACTACCAATTTGCTTAACAACACTATTCCTCATACATCATTTAGAAATAAATTTCAACTAGGTAAAAATAAACCCTAAATACAAATGAGCAAAATTCAAAATAATCAGATTTTACTGCCCTGATAGAGACTCCAGTAGCAACTGTGTAGAATATTTATAATTACCATTACATTCCAGAGCTGAAAAAAAAATGCAACTACACGATGAAAGAATGAAAAGGATTAAACATGTATCTTAAATATAATTTTATACAGGCTCAGTGTTCAATATTTTATTATTTAGACTGGTAAATGTCAAAACCTTTACAGACCACTTGGTTTCTCTTAGTGACAACTGCATAGAACAGGATAGAAAGCATACACAAACACTCTTAGCATTTTAGGAACAGTAACTAATCACTTGAAAATACCTAGGAAATGTGTATTTCAGAAATGAAATAAACAAAGGACAAAGATGGGTCTCGGCCAAGGCCACAAGAAAAGTCATTCTTGGCCAAATTTTGCAACACAGAATTCCCTAGCTCCCAAAGTAGAAAAAGATTTTTCAAAGCTTTTAGAACTCTTATAAATCATGTTGCTTATAGATGGAAAAAAAAAAGAAGAGCAGAGAAATTCACATGTCTAATGTCATGTTGCTAGCTAGCAGCAGAACTGGAACTAGAAACTAAGTCTCAATTACCCAGTCCAGGACTCCTTGTCTAGAATTCTTACTGCCCTCCTTCTCAAAGAAGCCATACTATAAGATGTATGTTTCTACAAATGTCTAAATTTATCCTCGAGAAACAAGGGCTATGAACAGATAGTTACTTCTTCAATTACATGTACACTGAAAGGCAGAAGCGGGAGAGAAACACAAAAAATGCAAAAAGTGTTTATAAAGAACCACTTCCAAAATCTTATTTCCAGAAGGTATTTTCAAATGATTAGTGAGAAAAAGGTAAGCACAACTTAAGCCAGTCATAGTATAGGAGAAAAGTGAAACATATAGCTAATAGTCTGACTTGGTTTTTGGGGTTTTTTTGGAGAGATTTTCGCTATAGGACGCGTGCGCTCACCAGACAGACAGAGAGAGACATAGAGACAGAAAGCGAGAAATCACCCCCCAGTGGGGATGGCCACGCCGCAATCCCTTCTCCTCCATTCTCCTCTCGGGATCTTGGGCACGCACGCACACGCGCCCGGCGTGAGTTTTAAGCCACCGGGTCCGGGACACCGACCGCGGTCGACTACGTGGGAGTCCAGCGACATAGCCATTACACTAACTGCTGGTTCCCTAGTCTGACTTGGTTTTAACGTAAACGTCCCTGGATAACGTTACAGTAAAATTAAATGGCCAAACAGTGGCTTGGCAGTAAAATAACTGGACCCACAGAGGAAGGTCCCAGTTTGCATCTGGAGTCTCCCTGTACACAACGGGCACAAGCACATGCCAACAATCCAGACTAGGTAAATGTGGATAGTGGCATGAAGACCCTGTTGGGGAAGCCTCCCCTCCAGCCCTCTCTCCCCACCTTTGGGTGAAATAAACTTTTAAAACTTTAATTTACTGACTGAGTGCTACAGTTTGTCACCAGTAGCACGTCACCAAATAAAATGACAATATATTTTCAATTTTTCTTTCTCTTTTCACTTATTTCTCTATGATCTGACCTAGCATTTTCTTTCAAGTTTTGGTTAATCCAAAGGGGTAGATACAGCTAAAGACTAATAACATTATCCATAGTTTGTATGAACAAGCACTGTGTAATCTCTTAAGTCCTGACAATGTCTCTTCAGACTAATCTCAAGTATCAATGTTATTTTCATTTCTCAGACAAGATTGCAAATCATGCCAAACTGTATGCTCTGTTTATGTTCTACCAATCAGTAAAAGTACTTGGAGAACAACCAAGTAGGACTGTTAAACCTTTTGAAGCAATAAAAAATTCCAAACAACGAAGCAAAATTCTTAATGCATTAAAGGCTCCTTTCTATAGGAAATAGAGCTGTTCACATATATGGTTATATACATTTGTTCATGTTGTATATATGCGTATTTTATAAATGTTTATAACTATATATGTGTATGTATCTCCTTTCTTTCAGGAAACTGAATAACAAATACATTAACTATTTCTTACTATTGGGTCTTCGGAAAAGTCATGATGCATTTTTGCAGAGAAAAATATGTCATGACTTTTCCGACCCAACAGGTACTCAGATGTGTGGCCTAGCTATAACCAAAATGGAATATTCATCCAGATGTTTCTCAAAGACAGCTACATTGCAAAATTTCAATATTGGAAAGTTCCTTAACATAACTGTGTGGATCCTTATAGTCCCACTTAGGATCTACGAAGACACAGACTATTACAGTTATGACTATGCTTTGGATTGATATATTGGGTTATCAGGAAACTCATGACACTTTTTTTTTCCCACATAGAAACATGTATAAAAATATGTCATGACTTTTCCAACAAGCCAATAGTACCTCTGTGTTCCATAATGCAAATAAATGAAAAGACACAATTGCTGTGCAGATACATACTCGTGTACATGCACAGAGAATTTCTCATGCTTCAATGGCATCTTTAATATTTCTATAGCATAGGAAGGATACTGAGTTTGGCAGGGAAAGGAAAGCAGTATGAGGAGCTGGTATGCTAA